TATTGTTCTCCAAGTTATGATAACCTCAAAAAAACAGGATGAATAGCGAAAGAATCACATGAAGACTCACAAAATCGACAAACAAACAACGATCCCACGTCTTATGTTTTGTGTTTGTGGACTCCCCCACACTCCTTATTTTTGTGCCCAAATCTTTTTGGACAACTTTGTTTTTCATGTCTATTTCTTAAATAACATTTAATTAATGAAAATGTCTTTGTTTTTAATTAAAATATCTTTTATCGGTTGTTACAAACTACTAAATTCGTATATATTCGGATTTTTGGTTATTTTTATATATTTTAGGGGCGGGTTTGTGAAGGGTTTGACGGGATCTCATACAACCATTTAACTGATTTTCGTAATTATAACTTTTATGATAGAAAAGGTACACACAGTAAATCGGTATGCAAAAAGTCGTCTGATACAGTTACGACAAGCAATCAAAATTAAATATTCAATTGTAAACGTATTGGAGCATTTTCGAAAGTCTAGTATCGAGAGGATGTTCGATGAAGTGGAAAATCCAACATAGGCAAACAAATTCAATGAAATTGCACTACGACGTAATCTCATTTAAAAAAAATGCATAAAGTGTTCAAGTGACGTGATAGAGTCTTCTGTAGGATTTAAGTTCGAGGTGGGCTGATTGCACCCCCATATATTGCTAAATGCACACTATCTATAAAATTTATTTTTCACATACATCAACATCAAAACATATTTTTACATTTTTAATGTATGAATTGACTTGATTCTGACATTAAAGGGTGTGCAATTAGCATTACCATTTAAGTTCATATGACCAAAGAATAAAAACGTTCCATTCTTTTAGACATCGTAACAAGTTTTTTATGATTTTTGTTAAAATAAAATATCGTATAAACTATTTCATAAGACACTTTTGATAATTGTCTTGTAAACTCGTCTTTTTATATGACATATCTACAAATAATGTTATATAAGATGACTAATAAGACATTTTATTTAAAAAGAATCCTAAAAACTTGTTATAATACCCAAAACCGACTTAGAAAATTATGGAACACTCTTAGATATGGCTATTTATTTTTTGGTTCTATAAACTTAGGTTTTATAAAACATTATATTAGGACACGTAAATACTTTAGGGGTCAATAGATTATGAAGACCTCTTTATCGTCGTAATCAATGGACTATCGAGTCCTCTTTTATGATCACCTACTTACGATAGAAAGTGAGAACAAATATAAAAGACGAAGTTGCAACAATTTTTTTATTAAATATTAGATATAAACTGACTTTAAAATTTGTAGTATACACGTTTTATTCATTGTAAGTATGAGAAAAAAAATGAGTTTACCTTAGTACTTATGAAAAGAATCATACAATACATATATATATATATATATATCGGTATAGTTCACATTGAATGTTTTGTGAACTTGTGCAAGTGATGCTTTATAGTCGAGTTTATGACGTTAAGGAATGCAAAGAGGGATACCCGTGATTCTTCGTGTTCTACGGTTTGGTTATTATAACGGATTCAAGCTTCAATGTTGGAGGACATGACTGTTTTTGAAATTTAAAGACTTTTTATGACTGGTTTATATCTTTTTTTATGGTATCATTATGAAGTGTTAATCCATATGTATATATGAAATGTTGTTTGAGTAAATTTTGTTTTATGAAATACTTATATACACATAAAGTATTGGGTTATTATTATTTGAACCCAACCCAACCGGATGAACTCGATATCTTTTTATTTATAGAATTTAATATGATTGTTAAATTTCTATTAATATATACATTAGACAATTACACTATCACGTACACTCTTCATATACACATATTTTCAATCTATTTACATTTCTATATAACTCATTTGTATATACATTCAGTAACTGTGAACATGTATATGTAAATTGAGAAAATTAATTGGATATAATATATGTAAGAAGTATGGATAAGTTGTACCAAATGGTCAATGATGAAAAAAAAATATTAATGTACCAAAGCATCAACTCGACCAACCCATACGGTTTGGGTTGGGTAAGACTTTAGTTTGGGTTAGATTAGATTAAGATTTTTCAAACCACAAATATTAAATTGAATTGTTCAAATATCTTCAAACCGCAAACATTAGGTTGGATTAGTTTATTTAACTCAATTGCATGTATGAAACATATTTTTGGATAAATTTTGTTTTGTATGATTTTCTTTATTATTCACATATGAATATCCACTACAACCCTCTCATATTCATTAAATAAATATTATATTTAATTTAACTCAATTGCATGAATTTATATAATCTCTATTACTTAATAGTGTTTTTGAGTGAACGATTCAGAATTTTAAATGAATCAAGTCTAATTCATAGAATCTATTTAATTCAGTGATTAATTGAATTATATTTAATCAATTAAATTATATCGATTATAAAAGTTCAATATCTAATAAATAATCATATTAAATTAATTTTATATAAAAATATTGAATACGAAACTGATTATACACCCGTATTCATCGATGCATAAAGTTTTGAACACAATTAATAAAAATATTTTTTTATAATATAATTATTATAATACAAAATATAAAAAATAAAATATTTTGTATCTTTTTTAAAGAATTTAAAATCCATATCAAAGATTCAACTTGAGAGTGGAAACATGTTCACATGTAACTTTCTAAGCCTCCAAAGTGCATGTGGATTGGTTGCCATCAAGTTGTGATCCTCAAACACAAAATCAACAACTTGGCCTTTGGAATTTAATATTCATTTTAATTGTTTAAATATATTAAATAAATAATTTTATTATTCGTTAAATTATCAAGAGTATATTATTAAAACCCCATTGTTTCAATATTATACTTCTAAATTACCAGGGTTTAAAATGGAAATATATGATCGGTTAAAACGCATCAGGATTGAAAGTGAGACGATATAAATTTGATGTCGGAAATTTAACACATGTGTTGGTTTTTAAATCGGTTATGCACGTTGCATTGTCTACCGTCCAATCGAGTTAGTTATGTGTGGCCCCTTTTCGACCTTTTCTCTCCCGACAACCACCCGCATCACAAAACTCCAATTTCTTCCAAACATAAAACTTACCCGATTCATATAAATACGACAAGATATATTAACCGTTTTCAATTAGTGATACATGTACATCTAAAAATCAGTATTTTTGTTTGAACAGCAGATGAATAGTAGATCACACGTAAAAACGACAAAACTAGTTGTTAAAAATTATAACTGCAATTTTATATGAGATATTTTAAGGGAATATAATTATTTTATAGCCGATTTTTTGAAAAAGCAAATGACGAAAATGTCCTTTGTGAGAAAGAAACAAAGAAGGTATGAAGGAAGATCTTGAATTGGATACCTACAATTTGCAGCTGACATATTTTGGATGGTGATGTGGACTTGAGAATGAGCCATTCCCCCATTAATTCCATTATTACAACTTCCCTTTCGGTTACCGCGTTAAATTTCACAACACCCCCCAAATAAATATATCCTATAATTATTTATAGACTTATAATTATATGAGATCAAAGGTTTTTCGTGAGTTATGTAAGACCAATTTTAAACTCTTTGATTAAATCTATAATATGATAATTTGAACATTTATAACGTCACGAGACTTCTCAATAATCACAAAATTGTCACCGTGCAACTTTAGACCATTAGCTTATAAAGTTGATCAATAAACATAAATTGGTCTCATGTGAACCCAACCCATTATTTATATATTCAAGATATCTCTCTCTCTCTCTCTCTCTCTCTCTCTCTATCTATATATATATATATATATATATATATAAAAGGTTGGGTTCACGTGAGACTAAGGTTTTTCGTGAAATTCGTAAGACCAATTTATATTCATTGATCAACTTTATAAACTAATGATCTAATGGTCTAAAGTTGCAATGTGACAATTTTGTGATTATTAAGAAGTCTCGTGATGTTTTATAAATGTTCAGATTGTAGATCTAATTCAAGGGTTGAGAATTGGTCTTACGGGTCTCACATGATCCTAAGTATATATATATATATATATATATATGTGTGTGTGTGTGTGTGTGTGTGTATGTATGTATGTATGTATGTGTATAATTTTTTTTTACAAAATCAACTATTAATACTATTTATAGAAAATCAGTTAATAAAAATATTTATAAAAATAATAAAAGTTTATTCAATTTTGAATTAACCATTTTTATTTTTGCCTATGGAGGATGATTGTACACGTCTACCGACTTGAATACACACAACCTTATTGGCATTTACGGTTACCCACCTTTATCCTTCTGTTGAATTGACGTGGAGTTATACCAGACCGCCATGTCAGCAAAGGTGGGACCACCTGCCAGATTGCTTTTTAGCTTTAACCTCATCGCTGTCGCCTTCTCCATGTGTTCTGGCGTTTCAACTATAAACTTCTTCTTTTATTTTTTCATCATTAATTCACCAAATTAAAAGAAAATTATCCCAAAAAGTAGAAAATAAATGTATAAAGGTCAACTATTTTTACCCAAAAATAAAAATAATGAAGTAAAAAAAATGTAATTTTAAATAAGAATGTTAAAAATAGCAAATTATATTAAATATACACCAAAATTTGTTTTAATTTTTTATTTCATATAACCAAGAATTTTTTAATCGATGAAATGAATTTCAAGATTTACTATTTTGGTGGAAGTCACCACAAGTACATAGAACCATGCCTTTCTGTTGGAGCAAATTGAATATGGTAATCTAAAGCCTTGCTTCTTCTGGTCGACTCGTATTAGCTTGTGCTTCAAATGAATCGATATATTTGACATCCACATACAGGTTGGCAAAAGGATGGGAAGACTGTGCAAGTACAAGACAGTTCCTAAGTTTGATCATAGGCCCTCCTACTAGCCTCAACCGTTGACTGAACCAAAAATTTTCCCTTCACATTTGTGATTGGAGGCGAGTTTCTTATGGGGCCAATAGAGATTGGCCCTTATTACAAATGGTATTAGAGCCAGAACCAAACTGTTGTGCCACCAAGGACGCTCCCAAGGGGGTGAATAAGGGATTGGATGCTAGGGATATGCAAAATCCAAAAGGTCCGAAATCTAGACCCGAACCCGGACCAAAAATAAGGTATTTATGCAAAATCTGAATGCCTCGAAATTCGAAAACCAACTTTTCAGGTAAAATTTGGATTTAGGTTGGGTTTATTTTTTGCCGTCCGAAAACCGGAAATATATATACACATATATTTTAAATACTATATAAATAAATTTACTTGTCTAATTAGCTTTTGAATTACTAAAAATCCTAGTCGATCGTGCTATTCTCTAGTTTCTAAACACATTATTGATTTATCAATCATTAATATCGATTAAATTCATCATCAAAAATCGATTGAATACATATATTTTGCATTACAACTAAAACCGAATCCGACCCACCCCAACCCGAAACCCAAGAATCTGGGCTTGATTACCATATCTGAAATCAATCGGATTTTTGATTTGCCCACTCGAACTTGTCCGGCCCGTCCAATGCACACTCTTACTGAATACCTCCTTTTATAAATGTATTTTAATACTATCAGTTTATTTATAGATAAAGCGGACAATATCTGATACAGTTAGCCTGAGATGTTACACCGATAATCAAATTTTATCCCTAAAATTTAATATTCACGTTCCAGGTCATTAAAATGTTATAAAATTAGGCTAAAAAATAGGAGTTTTTCTTGTTACATTAAATATATAAAATTTTGTTACATCAATTAAAAAAAGTTTTTGTATATTAAATAGAAATTAAATTAAAAAATAAAATTAATTGTAAGAAAAATTGGTAGATAAGGATAAAAGCCCGTATCATTTGTCAGCCTCCTTTTTCTTCTCCTATAAATACCCCTTCTTCATCTCCCCACTAACCACCAAAAACCCTATCTCCATTAATACAATCTTTACTTGAAATGATCAACAGATCACCCAATTGGGTACGAGGCCTTTGCATCGGCAGGGGCTCCTTTGGAACTGTCAGCCTCGCCGTTGATAAATCCGATGGACGCCGGTTTGCGGTTAAGTCCGTGGAGGAAACCTCCGGCCGCTTCTCTCAAGCTTTAGAGAATGAGATTCGGATTCTGAAATCATTGTCATCGCCTTATGTTGTTGAGTATCTCGGCGACGATTTCACGTCGGAGCTTTCTTCAGTGGTGTATCGGAACTTACATATGGAGTATATGCCAGGTGGCACGGTGGCGGACATGGCGGAACAAGGTGAGGATGCCACTGTTCGGAATTACACGCGGTGTGTTGTGTCGGCGTTGAGCTACATTCACCGGAAAAATATTGTTCATTGCGATGTCAAGGGGAAGAATGTGTTGATTGGGGAGAATCCCGGCGCCGCCAAGCTTGCTGATTTTGGGTCGGCGGTGGAAATGAGTGGTCCGATATCGGGAACACGTGGTAGTCCACTGTGGATGGCGCCGGAGGTCGTCCGTGGGGAGTATCAAGGACCGGAATCCGACATTTGGTCATTGGGGTGCACGGTGATCGAAATGGTCACCGGAAAGCCAGCGTGGGAAGACAGAGGAATTGATACTCTCTGTCAAATTGGGTACTCCGATGAGTTACCCAAGTTGCCAGCTCACTTTTCCGACGAGTTACGTGATTTTCTACACAAGTGTCTGAGAAGAAACCCGTCGGAAAGATGGAGCTCCGATCAGCTGCTACAACACCCTTTTCTATCATCATGCTCTTCTTCTTCTTCTTCTTCAAATTCAACAGAATCCACCACCAAAAAATTGTCACCAAGATGCGTGTTCGATTGGTCAGACTCGAATTTCTCCGATGAGGAGACGTCGGAGATGAAGAAGTCGACTAGAAATTTGAACTCATCAGATGCAAAACGGAGGATGGGGATCTTATCTTGCAATTCAGCAGCAGCGAATTGGGAATCTGACGGGTGGGAGTTGGTGAGGAATGCGGCGGAGGAAGGTGGTCCGACGAGTACAGAAGAGGAAAGAAGTTGGCAGGAAGATGGATATTCCGACGAGGAAGGCGGAGGTGGTTTTGATGATGATGATGGTGGTGCCAACAACCATGCGGATGGTACAAGTGATGGTTGGAGCAATAGAGACACATATAATAATTACAGTTGCTGTATGTATGTGTCATTAAGAAAGTCATTATTGTTTAATCGGAATGCCATCCGACACATTTATTTGTTTTCGTTTAATTTCATACCAGATTTTGAACCTTTTCTACTCCATTATTTTCACATTAATTATCTACCGACAATATATTTACTTTTTATATCTAAACAATCTACTTTTGGACATACATCTCTTCCGATTATAAACACCACCATTACCTACATCTTAATCCATTAAGAAAGCTTGTATTCGATAAAACCGATGGTTTTGGACTTACCCGTTAAGACTAATGAACGAATTTGAACACGTCTATTTGTATTTTCATACAAGTCTTAGGGGCCGTTTACCAAATGCTTACCCGAGTAAGCGCTTACTAAATCACATTATATTATCTGATGAATATGGTAAGGACCAAAATTCTTACCTGGTAAGAGCAAGACGTGGACCAAGAAGAGTCTTACCCGGTAAGTGATGATAACGACTCTTATCACAGTAAGTGTTTACCGGGTAAATTGTTGCATACGATGCCGTTTTGATGGACTGAATTTTACCCGGTAAGTAAATGATAGTGTTAATTTTTGCCGGTAAGTAATTACCGGGTAAGTATTTGGTAAACGGCCCCTTAGTGGCTGTCAAAATTCATCCGTGATGGTAAAATTTTGGTTTTTCCTAATAAATTCATGTTAAATCTTTATTTTACATATGGTTAAGGCAGTAAACGAACCGAACGTTCAACGAATCATTTACCGGAAATTTTGTTTATTTAATAAATGAACGAATATTAACATATTTTTTTGTTCGTTTACTTGAATGAACAAACGTAAACGATGGTCTCTTTCACTTGTATACGTTCGTTTATATATAAATATTTTTATATATTTATAACATTAATATGTGAAATCGTTAATTAAGTTAAATTTTTTAGAATTCTTTTTTTATCTCTCTTATTTACCCGATTTTTCATTTTATTATATCATTTTTTAGTAACGAAATGGTGAGTAATAGTTGTTGATTTTAAGTATATTTATGTTCGTTCATTTAGTATCTTAATGGATGAACTTAAACGAACTTGAACAATAAATATTTCATTTGTTTACTATTCGTTTATTCGATTAAGTTAAACGAACGAACACAAACAAAAATAAACAAACAACTGTTTGTGTTCATTCGGTTTCCTTATATCCTTACATGTGGTAAAATACTTTTTAGACCCGTAGACCAGTGGGCAAGCTAAAAAAATGCCTTCAACCTTATGAATAAGTCATCACCTTTACTTTGGATAAGACATAACGTATTAATTTGGATTTTATATAATAGAAAAACTATATTTTCATTAAGACTATTGTCATGACATGTGTACCAACCAATAAGCAAGCACTTGCTCACACGTAAGATGTTGGAGACGTACACCGGACATTGCAATTCCAAATTCCTAAACATGTCATTTCTTTTTTAAGTCATTGTTTTTTCGAGTTACATTTTAAACCGTCACGCTTTAAACGGCTCGTAAATTTATCTGATTTCCAATTTAGTTTATATGAACGACTCGTGTTGTAGGGCAAAATATGGAAATGCATCTTATTATATGGCTATCATGTTTCTCCAAAATATGTTGTATTTTTAAGATTCGTATTTTTACCACAAAATAAGATATTTTTATAACATGGTTTTTTGTTGATTTGTATATTAATGTATTCTATTATTAAACAATTAAAATATATGATATTCAAATCATGTGAATTTAACCCTGCTAATAAACCGTTTTCGAGCATACGTTATGGTTTTATGTCCCATAATCCTAAGCCAAAACAAAGTTATATATATAGAGGTTATTTCTTTTACAAACTGTGTAAATAAGAGTATTTCCTCATTTTCATCTATTAATATCTCATTTCTTAATTATCCTAATTCACCTGTCATTTTGAAACGGATTACCGTACAAACGGTAATTAAAATTCACATATGAATATCTCTGAATATTGTCACATTCTACTTTTTATTATGTTTTACCTACAAAGCATTACTCAACTTCACATACAACAATCTGTAACATCCTATTCAAATATAATCGTTAATAAATAAAAAATGGATGGTTCAGATGGATTTGTGGTTTGTACTGTTTAGGCGGTTTTAGAAAAATAGTATCACTCTCTCTTTTTTTCTTTCCATATATATTTTTCAAATCCTTTTAGATATAGATGTATATCAATTTTTTAAGTAACCATTTACTGTAATTTTAGTTACTTTGAATATATGTTTACTGTTTTCGTTTTGGCTCATTAGAAACGATATGAGAGGGTTCCTCGAGGTATTCATTTGTTTTTAAGCCTACAGGGTACAAAACTTCATATAAGTATTTATTACTTAACAGTAAATAACTTTATACTGTATTTTTAACTGATTTCCAATAAAAATACGTAGTACTACGAGTTACGACATTTTTTTTTATGCAAGACAATTCTCTTTTGGATTATAAGTTTCTTTAGGATGCACATATATACCTAAGGAACTATGCATGTTTATCCTTGATTAAGCTAATGTGCTATTTAAGGATGACACGTTACTAAAATATCCAAGTGTTTGTCACAAAAATAGCAATTCTTTTGGGACAATTTAAATTCATTGCATCTTCTTTTTCTTTTCTTTTTTTATTAAAAACATCTTTTTCGTCCTTAATAAATTATTAAAAATTATTTTATTATTTATAAGTAAACAATATATTTAATTAATGATGTATTTGTATGTAAAAGCAAAAATACAAACTACTACACGATTTCGTCTTTGTCCATATGAAGAAATATGTATTAGGAATCAGAGCAGATTTTGTTATAACCTAAAACTGATTATAAGTCGGGAACCGCCTGTAATTTGATATGTAGCATATTCATTATGAATGTGTGATTCATGATAAATAACATTTCTATATTCATCATTAATCAGTTGTTCATAATGAATATTCATCATGAAGAGAAACATGTGGCACGTTGTGGATGGTTTCTGACTTCCTAATAAATTTTTGGTTCCTAAAACTGATTACAAGTTGGGAACCACCTACAGTTTAACATTTAACATATTCATTATGAATGTGTGATTCATGATAAAAAAACATCTCCATATTTATCATTAATCAGTTGTTCATGATGAATATTCAATATGAAGAAAAAACATGTTGCACGTTGTGGATGGTTTTTGACTTCCTAATCAATTTTTGGTTCCCAACAAAACCTCCTCTCTCTCTCTCTCTCTCTCTCTCTCTCTCTCTCTCTATATATATATATATATATAGTTTTAATCATTTAAAAACTTTGAAATTTATGAGATTTTTTACAACCTTTACCTTAAGATTTGTTTTCATATGATTTTTCCCACCTAAGTATATTTAATGTATTGGTTAACATATATTTGTTTCGTAATATATTTGTTCCATATGTGCTCGGTTCACAATGTTAAAAAAAATTACATATATATTTTGTTTCACAAACACGCCCAAAAAGGTTCACATTGACAGAGTACATGTAAAGATAACGGGATTTGCAATTACCAAATAAAATAAGACCAACCTAACTTCTCCACGACTTGTAACAATTCTTTCAAATTGTGTAAAGTGTTGTACCAAAGGGTGTATTTAGGGGATCTCAGTGGATTTCTGGTCAATCACCAAATTTTCTGATGTACTATAATTTTTTTTTGATATTTAAATATGCTATCGTTTTGTTTCGTTGTATGCTATTGTGCAATCAAAACACAACCTTTTAGATCCATCTATGTGTTGTATGTTTTTATTTAAGTAATCAAATATTAAATTTGAACAATACATCCCCATGTTAGATGTGTTAACGAGTCAAAGCGAAGCGAAGTTGTTGGAGCTCAGTGATATGCATTGAGTATTCAATGTATTAAACACTCATTCTTATAGTTGTTAGCTAGATATTTTCTTTTTATCCCAAATATTGAGTCATCTTCATTACATTATTTTCCCTTTATTATTTAATAGGGCTAAGTGTGTTATTTACTTGTTTCTACACCAAAGGATGACTTACTTGATCAAAATGCAGGCTATTATATGCGGCAACATTTGTGCAGCAGAATCAGCTGGAATTGTGGCTTTTTGGAAGGCTGCATGCATTAAGCTGGTGAATTTCATAAAAACAAGCTATTCTCAGCTTTGGACCACATCTAAAACCTTCACCGAATAATCTATGGGTTAATACCACTTTGTACTTTTTATGATGGTTCATTTTGTACTTTTGTATTTTTTGTCTACATTTTATGAACTTCATTTTTTTTCTTAACTTTTTTCTTTTCTTCCTCTATTCTAGTATAAATAGAGGCTTTTGGAGCTCATTTTGTTCATTCCTAGTCAGATTCACATCTGACTTTGCTCTTAATATTCAAGTTAGCTCTTGAATTTTTTTAAATATTGTTATTTACGTTATATTGCTGCAACATTGCATCTTGTCTTTACTTTATTTTTCTTAGTCATTTATTTTTCGCTCTTTACATCCAGTCATTTATTTTTCGTAATTATATTTATGTCTTTACTTTTTGTTATTTATTTTCCTTGTGATTTACTTTCTGTAATGAGTAGCTAATTCCATTAGCTTGGGTGTAAGACAAAGGGTGAGATTTTAAACCGAATGAAAATGAACGTTGTTTCGCAATAACAATGTTCTACTATCTCATTCAAGTTTTATAAAATTAATGACACTTCTTGACAAGTCGATCACTTTGAAAGTGTTAAAGTGTCATGGTCTTAGAGATAACCCATTGAATGCACATCAATTTGAGTGATATGAAAAATAGACATGAGAGAGTTGTTGACAAAGAGATTTGTCATTTATATTTTTCAAACTAATTAATTCTCGACGGGCTGGTCACTTGTTAAAGTGTAATAGATTTAGATATGAACTACTTACACACACCAATTTGAATGATATGAAAATTTGCTCGAGAGAGTGATTTTTAACAAAAAGATTTGTTTATCCATATATTTTGAGAACATCATTTGACACTACTCGTGGTCCTAATACCACATAGAGATATGAGTTGAAAGCTATAATATAGTGCGATGGTGAAAGTCCGAGAGAAGTACTCTCCAAATAGATGGTGGAACTAGTTATTGTTGACTGCTTGCTGTAGCATCCCTACAACATTATCTGCTGGAATTTGTGTTTATGTCTCACCACAATGCTATCTTTATATATTATGTTATTGAAGTTGTTAATTCAAACCAATCAAAGTCTTCAAAAATTCGTCATCTGAATTTAATCTTTCAACTCGAGATGTATACTTATACGTGCTACCACTTATTGTTGTAGAGATACAATATCTAGATCCCTATCACTCAACTTGAAAAAATAATATAATGTTTGAATTTGGATAAATTTTCTTAATTTGGGTTCGAGCTTGTTTTATTTCGATTTATTTCCCTTGATCTATTAGTTGTATATATATATATATATATATATATTCATGTTTTAATTCTCTTGTTCTTAATTTAAATTTTTATCTTAGTTCTTGATTTTATGCAACATTTTAAAATGATGTGAGACGCAGCGTGGCGACGAGAGCAAACCTCAAGCCATACGAATTACGACGAGACTACGACTTTTTCAATGTGCGCCATGCATTTAAATTATCAAACTAAAAAGGAGAGGAGAACCATTTATATCAAATATATCAAGATTAAAATATAATTATATCAGGAGTGTAAAATTCGGAATTAAACCTTTTGGGTCTTTATGGAATGAGAGTAAAAATTTACCTATTTATGGTTTTAGTTTTTATGTTTCCTTTTAATGTTTATTTATTGCGTAGGGGAATTAGAGTTGCTTAAAAACTCGATCAACCCAACCCGATGTCTAATTGAATTGTAAAATCTTCAAACTTTAGGCATTCGGTTAGAACTAGGTTATGATAACTTGAACCAAAACGAACCCTAACCGATTAACCTGATATCCTTTTTATTTTTAGAATTTAAATATGACTGTTAAGTCCGTATTAATACATATACTAGACAATTACACCATCACGTATCCTCTTTATATACATATATTTCATTCTCTTCTCCATCTTTATATAACTCTTTCATATATCAGATTAGTAAATGTGAACATATATATGTAAATTGAGAAAAGTGGTTGCATTTGATATACTTAAATAATATGGATGAACTACAATGATTGATGATAAAAAAAAGAATTGTGAGTAGAGAAAACATCATGTTCAAGGTTAGGAAAATATTTTGATAACCGGTTAATGCTTCAACCAGTTAYTTGAGTACTTAAATGTTTAAAACTTTACATCTTATGTACCAAAATGGAAGTTTTGAAAGTACGTTACCCAAAATAGGAATCAAGTTAAAGTACGTTACTTTTTCATGCAATTTGCCCTTTTATAAAATCTAAACCCAACACCTTATAAAATCAAACCATCTAAAACGAGCTCTGAAGCTAATTGACCTTATAATATAACCCCATGACCAATTAGAATCAAACCATCGAAAATGAAAATCGATTCTAATCAAACCATAAAATATGAGACTATCTCCACCGAAAAGTGCTAAAGGTAACAATAGTACTAAAGTTTAGCACTCAAATTTTACTATTCATTAGAATATCACTAATCATCTCCGGTGCCAAATTACGTCTCTTTATATATTCAACATATGTTTATAAATTTATCATTTAACTACGATCATTTTGATTGTATACTAGTTAGTTTAAGTAAGTTAGACTATGTTTGGCAAACTAGCTGATAAGCTAGCTGTTGACTGATAAACTAGTTGATGACTGATAAGTTAGCTGGTAAATGATAAACTAGCTGATGAAGAAATCATGTTTGGTAAAACCAGCTTTTAAACACGTACAATGATCAAAAGAGCATCTTCAAAAATTAAACAGTTGCAATATTTCATAATATAATTAAAACAAACTTCTAAAAATATAATATGTTAATTAATACAAAAAATATGATAAAAGTAAATAATATGATATGTTGACTAAAAGAATAATTCAAATTGATTATTATAAACTTTGGATTTATTAAACAAGTTTTTTTTTTAAATTTATTAATTTATGAGTTCAAATAACCATTAGATATAATATGAATAAACATAAAAGTGTCAACCTCACATATTCTAGTTAATTCATAATTTGTAAGAATATATAATTAATAATTAAATTAAATATTTTATTATAATCATTTTACACATTTTTACCATCTATAAACAAAACAAGAAATTTTATGTAATTTACATAAATATTTTAATATATATATATATACTTTTTTATAACTAAGTATTTTGAACAACAATTATAAAAATAATTGATATGTTTAATATTATTGTAAGTAATTAATATTAATGTATATTGTATAATGTATGATTAATAACTAATAGTTAATATTTATTAATAGTATATAATAATTAATATTAATGACGGTTATAAATGGAGAAAATGAAAATAAGCTCCCAAAACACTATTCCAAGCAGTGTTTCAATAAGCTAGCTGAAAATTATAAATATTAATAAAGTTAAATATTACTAATATTAATTAAAATAAACTAAAAATTAATTACTAATCTATTTTAATGAAAAATTATGCATTAATAATATTTATTAATTATTTAATTACAATATTATTGTTTTTTATTATTATTCAATATATTTAGTCATCAAAATGCAAATATAACAATTCTAAAAATGTTTATGTAACATAAAATTGAAGTTATACTCATGTTGTTTCATGGATAATAAAATTGTGTTAAATAATTTTATTAAAATATTTAATTAAATTATTAGATATACTTTTAATAAAATTATTAATTAATTAAGATAGATACGATTGACCATTTTTTATTCATATTATATGTAGGGCTGTAAATGAACACGAACGAAGACTTGTTCATGTTCGTTCGTTTAACTTAACCGAACACGAACGAAAATCTTTGTGTTTGTGTTCGTTCGTTTAGAAATCAGGTGTGTTCGTGTTCGTTTATGTTCGTTTGTTAAAATGTTAAACGAACATAAACGAACGGGCTAAACAAACAAACATAAACGAACGAGCTAAACGAAGATAAACAAACGGGCTAAATGAAAATAAATAAATATTATTTGAATTCAAAGTAAATAAATAAAATATTATATATTAAATTTAATATATAAACGAACATAAACGAACGTAAGCGAACGGTAAACGAACGAACGTTTATGAACATAAATGAACGAACAAGACTCTTATTCATGTTTGTTCGTTTAACTAAACGAACAAAAAAAATATTCATGTCCGTTCATTTATTAAATAAACGAACATAAACAATTTCCCGCCGAACGGTTCACGAACAGTTCGGTGAACGTTCGGTTCATTTAAGCCCTAATTATATGTAATGGTTATTAAAAAACATAGTTTTTTTTTCTAAAACTTATTTTAACAAATCCATATATTATAATATACATATAATCATTGAATTTCAATTTTTATAAGATTTTAATTTTAATTATTTATTTTGAAATATTTAGAAGAAGATATGATTTAGATAAAATTGATTAGAATTAAAGCATGTAATAAATGATCCGAGCCCAGATCCATAAAAGCCCAAATGATAGCCGGTGATGTGGCCCAAAAAGCCTAATTCGAAATACAAAAACCCATCACGCCTCCATTTGTGTGTAACTGTAACCCTCCCTAACGTCAGTCCGCCGTTTCTGCTTCCAGAACCTCCGATTTCATTTTGCTTTTTGCAACTCTCTTCCATCTTCACCTTCAATGGCAAGTAACGATCCAGAGCACAAAGAGGAGGAAACTGCCGCTGTCGAAGACGAAGACACCGGAGCACAGGTCGCTCCGATCGTCAAGCTCGAAGAAGTTGCGGTTACTACCGGGGAAGAAAATGAAGACGCTATACTCGATCTGTAACGTTTCATTCTCGATCTGTTTTTAAAAAGTTTTGTGGTTTATGATCATGATGTGAACTTATTTTTCGAATTTTCAGTAAAGCGAAGTTATATCGATTCGACAAAGATGGAAACCAGTGGAAAGAGCGAGGCGCGGGTTCCGTTAAGTTCTTGAAGCACAAACAAACCGGAAAAGTTCGTCTTGTTATGCGACAATCGAAAACCTTAAAGATCTGCGCCAATCATCTTGGTATGAATAAGTTCCTTTTTGTGATGTTATTTCATGGATTTGATTGTATGAAAGATGTTATGTTGGATGCTTGATATGTTCTTGATTCTAATCTGTTGCTATTGTAGTTATACCTACTATGTCTGTTCAAGAACACGCTGGCAATGATAAGTCATGTGTGTGGCATGCTACTGATTTTTCTGATGGAGAGCTTAAGGATGAGCTTTTCTGCATTAGATTTGGTTCAATTGACAGTAAGTTCACTTCCAATCGATTGCATTTTATTGGTTCCTTTCTTCAGATTTTGATGCATTTCAAGGTGTATTATTTACTTGTATCAGATAGATTCTCTATTATTTTTGGAGGGCACCTTTAATGTAGTATATCTCGTGACATGAAAGTTGCTAGGTTTTGAAGTTGAATGTAGATGGTTGATTATCAGTCTAACAAATATAGGGCTTTAAATCTGTTGATTATCATCTCTTGTTAACGAATAAATATATTTTACCTTGAAAAAGCTTGAGACATCCCAGAATGGAAATTGTAGTTGATTGTTGGATGTGTTGGGTTCTTTGTTCCTTTATGTATTGAACAATAATTTGTTTTTTGGTCTTTCGGTATTAGCTAGGAATGTATTATGTTGTTCATTAGCTCATTCTGAAGTCATTATTGGTGAAGCAAAATGTAAACATAGATATATCAGGAACCACATGTTTTGCAGTCATCAGATATCTTTTTCTGGTGGCATGCTTTGCCATACGAACTGTATTTCATTCTGCATAATATCAGTTGATCTTCCTATCTTCTAATGGTAGTTCTTTTTTACCGAGATAGTAGATTAGGTTGTGGTAGTCTTTCAACAAACTGAAAAAGTTCCTTGACAAGATTTGTGGGTGTAATGTGTCCCTGCGGAATTTTTTTATTCAGGTTTGGGGGTATAGAAGATCCTTTAGCACTTTGAACCTTTATGAACAATATGTTATAACATTTTAACGTGTTTATTTCTTTTGATGGTACCCAAAACATTTTTATTTTTGGTTTTTAAGCTTCATCATTTTTTTTCAGTTTTCTTTGCACACGTGATTGACCAATTACTTAGTATTTGTTTTGCTTGTTTTTTTGCTTATCATTTTTGATTCACTCTTTTTTTATTGCATAAGATTTGTTCTGTAATTGGTATACCATGTCTCTAAGATGGGATTGATATGATGTCATATGTAAAAGGTCTGAGCAAGATTTTGTGATGGAAGGGAGATGTTTGTAATATCTGGAAGAGGGCCCCTGTCCTTGTTAAAGTTATAGCATTGTGACATTCGCAACCTCTTCTATAGCATTTACACCACATGCTTATGCAGTATGATTGGTGAAGGGTTGTAATAAAAGGCGTGGGTTGCATTCTAGCATTGAATGCCAACTTAGACTTCTCCCAACATTCCTATTATTAGTTGCCACAACATCCCATCTTTCCACTCCACTTCTTGCATGTGATCACAATTTCGTGCTGATCATCCCTCTTTAGAAATTCTTATGATAAGCATCTCACAAGGGTTATGCCATCATTGAAACAAAACTGAGATCATATAGATTATTTTTTTCTTTTATGGTGTTATTGTAAAGCACTTGTACTGTCATCAAAACCTTTTTTTTTTACAAAATCATTTAGAGGCTGATTGCAAGGTCTTAAATTTACATTTCCAACTTTTGTTATATTTTTACAACTTTCGGGTCTAAGCTGTTCTTTGTTCGCATATAGGGGTTGATACATTTGGAATATAAGTGGCTAATTTCACTTCCGGCCACTTTGTTTCATAATCGTTGGGGACTCCCAATTTTTTTTGCTTTTGTATGTCTTCAATTTAGAAAATTATAAATTGAAGGTTGTAACCACTCTAGCAGAGATGCTATGATAGGTTTCTATTTATTCATTTATGAAATTTGTTTATTTTTTTCTTTTCAATAAGGCTGATTGTTGCATGCCAGAAAGACTCACAAGTTAGCAAATTCTTAGGATTTTTAAGAATCTTTACCAAAAAAATATCTTTCACTGTTATTGTATGAGTTTTTTCTTTTCTAAAAAAAGTTGTTCAAGACCTAAATATACAGTGGGAATGGGTGGTTGCAATTCTGTCATGTTTGGCTTTAGTTTTTTCTCTAATTTTGTTTGTATGTATTTGTCTAGAAATGATTTTCTCTCAAAACATTATTTATTTCAATTCCTTATTATCTATATGTGAATCAATGTTCTTTAGGAGTGTGTGTATGCTGAATTCTAGTTTTTCTTAGAGGATATGTTCGCATATATTTATCCCTACCTCTGGTGGGATCTACTGGGTGCAATCTTTATGCTTTTAGTCTGTGTGATGTGTGTTTTACTTTAAGCTTGTATTGCCTTTTTTTCATTGGTGTAATGGGGCGTTATTCTTTGTATTGATTTATAGATTGCAAGAAGTTTATGGAAACATTTCAAGAGGTAGCGGAGTCTCAAGAAGGGAAGGAAGAGAATAAAGAGGCTTCGGGTGCAGCTGGACTGCTTGAGAAGTTGAGTGTGGAAGATAAAGAGGGGAAAGAGGAACCAAAGGAGTCAACTGATGAACCCAAGGCTAAGGTGGAGGAGAAGGTGGTGGCTGAAAAAACAGGAGAGGAGGAGGAAAAAAAGGCTGAATGAATAGTTGTTTGTAAGAAAATTGGCAATTTGGAAGCAGATGGTTGGAGGAATGGAACAGCATCTCTTGGTAAGTTTTAAAGTGTCTAAGATGTGCTATTATGCAATGTGGAGTCGGAGTCAGTGTCGTCGGTCTGTCAGGTTTGGGTTTTGGATTTTGCGTGAAGGTTGGTGTTGTTCTGGTCGGGTATAGATATAGGGGGATTTTACAGATGCTGGTGTTGGGAGTTGGTTGTCAAATGCATATGCATACGTCTGTTACGTGTTCTTTTTACAATGGAGTCGTATTGGATTTTTTATTTTCATTTCATATTCAATGCTTTGAGGGTTTTTTTTTATGTCAAAAGTGACATTTTTGAATGTCGCACAAACATATACAAAAATTGCCATACGTATATGACGTATATGTACACATGCATATTTTACATTGGCCTGCAAATCCACACACTCGAAAAACTTGAGACACTGGAACCCACTGGTTCCACTACCTCATCTCTGTCCCGGTACCTGGCGGGGTCCATGGAATCATATCCTTGATTCAAAAATGTCGTTATAGTTATTATATAACAAACGTGACGGTTTGGGAAATACATTACCCGGACCTGCTTTTTGACATGCTGGCGATCTTTTGGTCCACCGTGGACAGTATTACGCCATCAGTGTCCCAACAACATGCATGTATTTTCTGACTAGTTAATAGCTTGATGTCCTAAAATCTGGGACGGACCTATTTCAATGGTTCTACCTTTTCATTCCTTTGTTGTACTAAAAAAAACTTGGGTTCATGAAAAGTGCAACTGTATATATTTTGAAACTACAATAAGAGCATAAGTTTTCTTTGGTAGAGTTGATTTATGAGGTTTTTCTTTTCTTTATTTTATCAATTTCCTAAAAAGAAAGTGACTTGTTGCTTCTCTACTAGCCCCCTCACCAAGATGCGTATCATTAGAGTTGGGCGAAAATGAACATAGGATCACGGTCCTTTAGAGGAGGTTTTTAAAATATAAAACTTTCACAAGTTCGGTTGTTTTTCATTGTGAATTAAATTCTTTGTATGTATGATTTATGATAAATTATTTAGTTGTTCTGTCAATTAATCAGTTTGAATGTCAAAGCTATTTTACTCTTTAGCCTATATTAATCACTAATATTTAATAAAAACATTAATTATTGATTTTAATGGTAAAAATATCAGATGTAATACGAATTCATTAAAAGGAAAAATACAACCACAAAAAAGGAATGAAGCATGTTGTAGTTCATGCGATTCGTATCCATTAAATGTAATCTATTTATAGATTTCTTTATTCCCTTTTTCTATATGAAAACCCTCTTTACAATCACTTGCTGTTTGTTGGACTGATTCATTCATCATCGAATTTCCCCTTGTTCCCCTGCTCCGGTGTTTACCCCCACGTCGGACTTATGTACAAGGCATTAGGTGCATGAGCTACCACATAATCAACTCGTTGCAATAGAAACTTTTTTTTAGGGGTTTTGAATATGCGTCCATGGAGGTTTTGAGCTTAGACTCCAAAGCTCAAAAGTGTGTGGATGTCTCAGGTTTAAATTCAAGGAGGAACAAAGATTCCCTTATGGCCATGAAGGTTCAGATGCGGTGACTCTAGGCTACCTGTAAAGCGGGAGGTTACTCTGGGATCAGTTGGCTCGCATAACGGATTGGATATTCAAATTAATAAATAAAAAAGATGTGCTCGTCTTTAAATTGATGGGTATTAATAAAATATAATTGCAATCAACTGATAGTGTTATTATATTTTGTATTAAAGATTACAAAGGGGAAAAACCCTTATAACATGATTTTCACTAAAACTCTAGTTTTTGCAATTAATATTTATTTGATTTTTTATCACTTCATTTTTTTTTATATTTATGGCATAGATAACCATATATTTTATGGTTGAAAAAGTAAGTAATGCGTCTGTTTGCATGTTACCAATATTTCCAATCATTCATTACTTTGAAATTTATGAATCATATTTTGGTTTTGATTGAAAGTTTTATGCTGTGAACTCTTGAACTCACCGGATGTGAAGTTTGTCTTGCTTTTTTTTGTCGACATGCATCCAAAGGTCAAATTCGGGTGAAGGTGATAATGCTAGTTGAAAAAATATAGAAGGCTAGTACTTAATATGGCATGATGATGGGAGGAAACTGCGAGAAAGAGAAGAAAAGCTATGATTTTACTCTTTAGGGCCGGGTATTTGGGTAGAAAATAGGTTTCTTGAGAGGACAAGTACGTAAATATGATGGCTGAATGGATACAAGTAACTTTCTTGGCAGGCCAAATAGGATAATTTAAGTGGATGACTTGGTGAATAAGTTAAAAACAAACACATATTTATAGGACTTGGTGAATAATCCAATATTAAACTCGTTAAGGGGTGGATCAGTTGTTTTTGTATTTGTCTCTATGAATCAGATCGATTTGTTACAATGAATAAATTACCATCTCACGTTTTTGCATTAATTCCAAATACAACACATTTTTTCTGCATCATTTCATCGAACACCTTGCAATCATCCCCATATTGATTTTCAAGAGTTATAGAAACTAACCTAATTAAGTGAGTTAAGTTAGAGGTTAAAGAAGTTAAAAAGGAAAATAGCAGAAACACAGAAATTACAGGATTCAACCTAATCCATAGGAAAAGGAGAGGAACATGAATCAACTAAGGGCATGTTTGTTAGCACCTTAACAAGTCTAATGGGACTCGCAGCTTATTAAGCGGGCTATTGATGTTCGGTAGTAGCTTAATGATATAAAAAATGAGTAATCTTTTAGGAGAGAGCTTTACACAGTTTTTTGCAAACTCAACCACCCGACTAAAAAACAAACTCCTTCCATCTATAAAAAGAACTCTTACAAATAAAAACCATAATAGCTTTACCCGTAAAGGACTTGAAAAAACAAGCAAACAGACCCTCTGGCAACAAAACCAGCTAGAATCATCATGAAATTGAAAGAAGCTAAGTAGAAACCCTAATCATGCTATCACTGAAAACACAGGAGAATTCCCCATGAATCCCGATTACCAGAAGATGAAAGAGCGATAACAACATGGAAGAGCTTCTGATTAAAGGCTGGAACGTGTTTAATGGGAACAGTATTGGAGTAAAAAGCTTGAGCTTGAATGTAAACAACACCACTCCATGGTAAGACTGAATAAGCCCCTCTGTTTCTATATTAAAACACAGCCACAAACAGCCACTTATGGCTGCCCAGATAAGCTATATGTGCTATACAGCCAGCCCATTAAGCCAATATTAAGAAGACACTTCTGCTATCTATCTCACGGGAATCACACAACACGATAGCAGCACCTACAGCTCTTAGATATTCAATCCTCAGAATATATGAACTACATATTTTTCTTTCATAAATAATAACATGAATTGATCAATTAGTCGATAAAAATCCACCGATAAAACACCAAAGAACCCCTAAAACACAAGCCGGCATAGCTAAAAATTATAGGCATTAAATTTTTTACTTGCAAATGAATGCAAAAGAATAGAGTAACAGGCTGACCATTGTAAACTCAGATTCTAATCGAGGTTCGATCCACTGACAATTGCAAATTGGAAATCGACTCAACCGATTAAACAAGCAAATCACCACAACAAATCTATAATTGAGCAATATCTAATACTACTGAACCGATCCGTTTCACTGAATGCTGTAAAATAGACGTCAACTTCAAATGTTTGGAGATGATGATAAAAACTCATTAAGCAAATGTATGATCAAGTACCGGAATAACAACTGAAAACAAATGGACAATGATTCGAACAAAAACTATAGAGCATAAACCAAACAATACGGCATCGGGAGACGCGAGATAGAAGATTCAGTTCAAAAGCTTTCATCGATCTACTTGGATCTCTGCCTCATCTTTCGACGCTTCCTCTTCAATCTCCTCATCCTCTTCTTCTTCCACTGTACATCAACAGTAACAAAAAATCAAATAAAGGAATGGATTGAAGCAATTGTCGATAGATTTTGTACTACTGGAAGCTTACCTTAGCCCTCATGACGTCGCCGGAAGGATTTCAGTACCGGAGGTTGCAAGCGACGGAATGTTATCGAGGCTTGTGAACGGCGATCGCTAGGTCGGTCGACCAGACTTTATAGCGAAACCCTAATTCCTTAGACCAACCGGGTTGCAAATTGGGCTCGGCCCATCATAGCCTGCCACAAAAAAAGTGAGCATATGATTTTCAATTTTAGGTAAAATAGTTTAGAAATTACAAAAAAAGTACTCGCGCAATGTAGCGAGATAAATCTCGATTTTAATGTTTATTTTTTATTTTTGTCTCTATTGATATAATACGATTTTATATGATTTTGAGAAAGCGATAATGTTTTTACTTTTGAATGAAATATAAATTTGAAGATAACATAAAAATTTGAAAAATAAATAAATAAATCAATATTAGTATCAAATTAACTATTCAATAATTTTTATTTTTTTATATAACCTCCATAATTAAATTTTTTATTATAATTAATTTTGTATTTAATAATAAAATAATTTATTTTTGGTTTAATAATATAAAGATAATAATTAAACATTTTGTTATATTTTATTCAAAAACAAAATCATTATTGTTTTCTTAAAAACACATGAAATCGTATTATAACATTGACAGAGACAAAGAATAAAATAGAACATCAAAATCGAGATATGTCTCGCTGCATTGCACGAGTACTCTTCTAGTATATATATATATACACACACACACACATTAAAAGTCATGTTACAACATGCCTTAACACGCCAATGGTGTGGGTCACGCCTTACAGAAACGTTATATGCCTTATCGTATCATGTATTTTTGAACACTGCCTTGTGATTATATGTTTCTTACGACCATTGTCCATTTAAAAGAAGTCAACAAAAAATGTCATTATGGTTGCGTTTTTTAACGAGTTACATTCCTAATTTTTGTAGTTATATTTTCCCAATGAATTGGGTCCATGTGTTTGTAGTTTTTTAACGAGTTCGGTCCTTTAACAAATCAAGGTAATGGGTCAATGTATTTGCATCAACGACCCATCTCGTTGTAAAAATTCAACTACATAGACATGATTCGTTGAATTTTCAAAAAACATACATAGCCGCTAAAAAACATATAAATATACGAACAAATAATTTACTCTGGAATATTTATCTAACATCTAAAATTGATTAATCTATTATATCATGTCATAATTTAAAAGATGTATACAACAATTCAAATAAACGTTCTCTGTCAAGTTTTAAACCATTTAAACAATTAAATGACGAAAAAAACGCCCATCGCCTTTGGCCCACACAACATACACCTTCGTCACCACCTAAATAATCAAAATCTGCTACTCGGTACCCAACCACTTCTATGTACATTCGTATCTAAACCACTGACATATTCCCAGCCTCACAAGAACGAGTGCGTCCAAGTTAAGTTGGTTGGTTTGAATGATCCAATTCAACAACTGTAGTTTGAAGATTTTTAACTCGTTCAAAATGTTTCAAGAATGTAAACCAACACAGAGTGTGCCAGTTGGGTTGAAATTTTATTGCATCGTGTCACAAAATACAAACAAACTAAAACACAATTCAATGTACATTTAGGCGTTATTGGTTTGAACCAATATACCATCCATATCTCATGCATATAATAATACAACGTACAAGTGTAATCAACATAAAGAAAGTTATAGTTCAAAGTAAAGGCAAGAAAATCAAGTAGTATAAAAACGTGACTCCTTTGTTGAGTATATAAAGATCAAAGATAGTTGATATAAGTTGTAATACAAAGAAATTGACACCAAGTTATTATACCGAGTCATTTATGCTTATTGGTTGCATCAATAGATACATTACAAAAAAATTGCACACCAACTCAAAATTGTAGATTTTACGGTGTTTCTTTATTGATCTATGTGACTATGCAACTTATGAGAGAGATGTACAAAACTGTCCAAGTCTTGAGCCTGATCCAGGCCCTGCTTGTGCCCCGACCTGAAAACCCTCGAGCCTAGTGAGCTTGAAGCTCGGTCTAGGTCAGACCTCAAAACCAGATCAAACCAAAATCTTGGAGGCAAGCCTGATCTTAAAATTGGTCAAACCTATAAATGGTTTAAAAGAGCTCAATCAGACCCTTTTCAACCTCAAAATTGCACTGAGTCTAAAAAACGGAACCATTTTTTGCTCACATAAAACGGGTTTGGAAAGTCCATGTCAGACTCGCAAAAGTCTAAGTGTTATGTATCTCTAGTTTATGGGATTAGGTCGGGTTGCATTAGGTATCATCCAACTCTAACCTGACATATGTAGACTTATTATGTATCAACTAGTTGTCGGATTACTCGGGTTGAGTTTTTACGCTTTTTCTGATTAGGTTAGGTGGGTTATTGAGTTTTTCATTTACAATTTTGACTTTATATGGTATCTATACTATATTATAGAACATTTGACAAAAATCCTTAAAAATGATTTTTTATGCATGAAGTACAGTTTATTGATGCATATTACTTAAACTTTAAGATTACAAGTAAATTACGCATAAGTACAACTTATTAAAACTCCATACTTGAATTCGTCTAACTAACTGCAGATAAACATAATCAAATATTGGATAAACATCTCATTTTAAATATAAAAAATCTAAAATATAATTAGGATAATCATTGATAACTAACAGAATACTTAGTTATTATCTTTATAAAAAAATATACTATTAAACCTAAATTAAATTTCGTTGTTACTAAAGCTACATTAAATTATAATTAAAAAAATTTAATTAAGGAAATTACACCAAAACAGAAGAACTTTTAAAAAGATTAATTCAATATTGATATCGATATTTTTTTTTCAAAATTTTATGATATTTTTAAATTTATATTTTATTAAAAATATAAACATTA